TTTGACTCCCTGGCAACCCAGGAGAGTGGGGATGTGGCAGGGGTGGAAGAGGAGGTGCCTGGGGAGACTTCAGGGGACAGATCTGCTCAGAGCCCAGCCGGAGCTGCTCTGGAAAGCTCCCAGCAGGATGCTGCCGGGGAGCCCAGGAAGATTTCCCAGGCAGAGCTGGCAGCGGAGGTCCAGTCCTTTCTCCAGGTACGAGGCAGGGATTGCTTTCCCCTTCCAGCCAGTGAGCCTTTACAGACTGATTTCTGTTCCTTCACCTCATTTTCTGCAGGTGCATGGACCGAGGCTGAAAATGCTGCTGCAGAAGGAGTCCAACGTAAGTGGCTGTTTCAGTCTCTCTACTGGAGCTGATGGTCTGAACGGGCTCATGCCAGGGCCTCTGGAAGGGATGGGAAAAGAGGTGGGTTTCACTGGGACAACTGGAGGGGGATAAAAAGCCTCACTGCCACCTCCTCTGGGCTCAGGTACTAACACCTGCCTCCACTTTGCAGGGAACTGCTGTATGATGGGCAGCCTGAGGGGTCAGTGCTGGCCGAAGCAGTGGGTGGTAGGGAAGAGAAAAGCCCTGGAACTGTATTTTGTGGGTTGGTTTATTTGGTGTATTACTCAAGGACTGTGTTTCCCTCCAGCACTCAGAGCTGAGCATCCCACCTGAGCTGCATGTTCTGAACAACTGCTCTCCCAGCCAGGTGAGCCTCAGCATCCTTGCTGCAACCACTGGTGCTGCAGAGGGCCTGCTGCTGTCCCTAACGTCCCTGTCCCCTCTGCCATCCCCAGCTCGAGGGACTGTGCTCCTTCCTCCAGCTCTCCACGTGCCCAGAGCACATCCTGGTGCATTTCTGCAGCTGGCTGCTGGCTCTCACCCCCAACCTCAGCTACACCAGTGCGGCCATCCTGGCAGAGCAGCTCTTTCTCAGGCGAGTAAGTGCAGGGACAGAGGTTTCCTGCACCCTGTTTCCGTCACCGCCATCCCCATCTCCTGCCTTTTCTGTCCGTAGGTCCTGTCTCTCACCCAGCCGCCCTCCCGCCATCTCATGGCTGCCCTTGCTTCATTTTGCTCCAAGTATTCCCAGCCCTTCTGTCAAGTCCTGGTGGCTGCAGTCCTGCGGGAGCCAGGGGAAGGTGCGATGGGCTTGCAGGAGGCATGGTTTGTTCTGGGACCAGCTGAAGGAGCTGGAGAGGGGCTGTGGGCTGCATCCAGCAGGAAGGGAAGCCCCAACTGCAGAGTGCTGTCTGCTGGGAGACATTTATCACCCAAAATGTGTGTTAGGAACCACAGAGGGATGGTGCTGCTTTTATCTGGGCAGGTGAACACTTAGGATGGGAGGTGGATTTACAGGTGCCTGAGATGGAGAGGGAGGCTGAGCTGGTTTCCAGCCTCAGCTCTCCCAAAGAACAGCTACCATCCCTCCATGGACTTGAGGATTCCTGACAGCTCCTAATGCTGGGGCCAAAACTGCCCAAGGGTGGCATGAGAAGATGGTCCTGCATGAATCTCTGCCACAGTAGCATCCCCTTTTCCTAGGGACTGGTGCTAATTAAACTCTTGCTGCAGAGGGGCAAAGGAAGCTGGATTATCCTGAACAGTAGAAGGGGGCACTATGTGGTTTCTGGGTGTCCTGACTGGGATGTACTCCTGTGCTAAGGGGTGCCAGGAAAGGTCAGGCACATCCCTGTGGATCTGGCAGCCTCTGGAGGCTCTTCCGCCTTCTGCTTTGCCCTTGCAGGTGCTGAGCAGACCAAGCTGGTGTGTGAGCTTGTGGAGGACTGCCTGGAGCCAGACTGTGTGAGACTGGTGCTAAGGTAAGACATTACAGAGGCAACAGCTCTGCTTTGGCCCTCATGCCTGCCTTGATGGGTCCAGCTGGCTCCGGCCGCTCAGGAGCACCAGCAAGGTTGTGTGAGCATTGCATCTCCTCTTCACCATCCTTTGCAGCCAGGTCCTGGAGGTGCCTTTGTCAGAGAAGCTCCTGCCGGTGGTGCAGGCCGTGCTGGGGCGGCAGGTGAGGGGACCCTGCCTTGTCCCCCCAGGTTTTTTTGCCAGCTCCAGCAGTGCTGGAGCAAGGACCAGCTCTCCTCACCACTCATGGCTCTCTTCCAGGAGGTGCTGCCCCCCGAGCTCTTCGATCTCCTGGTCCTGAGTCTGTGCCGGCAGGCCCCAGCCTTCGCCATGTCACTGAATTACGCCAAGCTGGTGACAGCCATGCTCACCATGTACCAAAGCCAGGTGAGTAAGACCAGGCTTGGGTCCTGCAGACCAGCTGGTGAGCTGTCAGCCAGGGCTGCAGCTGAGCCAGGACCTGGTCCAGGGGTCTCAGGTGGGCTCCTGGCAGTGCAGCTCTCTGAGCACCTTGCTCCTGTCCGTCCCAGGTCACCCCGGCCCACCAGAGCCATCTGGCTGCTGCTCTGGATCGGAGCAACGCGGCTCTGAAGAAATCGCTGCAGGCTGTGCTGGAAGGAGCCAGGTGAGATGGATGCTGTGCCCTCCAGGCTGGGGTGTTTCTTGTGGGGGATGGCAGCCTCCACGCTCCTGGTCTGGCCCAGGTGGTGGGAAACCACTGAGTGCCTGCAGAAGCCATGCCGGTGTGTGGTTGGCAGCAAGTTTCCGGTTTCTTGATTTCTCTCCTCTTTCTCTCTCCTCCTCCCAGGTGAACACCAAAGGGAACCGCAAGGCGATGGCTTCCTTGGGCAGAGGATGCTCGTTAGGCAGTGGTAGCTGCAGCCCAGTCCCTCACTGGGGTTCACCACCAGTGTGACAGAGACCCACGGAGTGTGGGCTGTGGCACTCAGAGTGCCCATGCCTCTGCCTGAGGCCTTGCAGT